ATACTAATTTGGATGTAAATTAAAAAAAATAAAATTAAGTATTATGTTGAAAAAATATATAAAACTTTAAGACTAAATCTAAAGCCACCATAGTCAAGACAATTTTCTATTGGCTAAAAGATAGATATATCAACCAATTGAACAAAATAGAGAGTTGGGAAATAGACCTACACAGATTTTGGCATTTAGGTTATGGCAAAAGTGTCAAGATAATACAATGGGGAAAAAGGAATGTCTTCTCAATAAATGATGTTTCGTCAATTGAAAAAAAAATTATTTAGGGGCAAAGGGACCTTATATATAACCTCTGTCTTATTTCAAAGAATTCAGGAAAAAAATTGTGTACAGGTATTTATTTAGGGAAGGAAAACATGGTAAAATGTTAACAGTTGGGGAGTTTGGTTGAAGATATATGGAAAATTTTGTACTACTTATTGAAAATTTTCTGTAAGTTTGAAATTACTTAAAAACAATAAGTTAAAGGGATGATAGAGTTTATAAGAATATAAAGTTAATTTTATATTCTCATATAAGTTGTTAGCAATAAACCAGAGTGTTTAAAAAATCGACTAAGTGCTATAGATAAGATGAAAAAAGATTTTATTCATAAAACTTGAAAGTGAAATATTGATACTATAGTTTTCAACGTTATGTCTTTGGTGTCACTGAAGTAGAAGTGTGTTCTTATGCACATTTTTCTGTTGCTGAAAAAGCTCTTTTTGGCTTGGAGTAAGTTGGAGGAATAGAGAAGAGATTATTATAAATTGTCCTCCACCAACTCCTTTCTTCATCTTGAGCTCTTTGATAACTTAGAAGAAATGTTTTTGAGTAAGTATTTTTGGAAAGGAAAACAGGGACTGGCATCCTTTACTTACTGATAGTGAACTATGGAGTTTTCTTCCATCATGCTTAATGGATATTCTGAAGCAGCATTACTTGTCTCAGTCTTACTGCTGATTTGTTCATAGCTCACTTAATTTGAAAGTCTTTGACGAGTAAGGATTATTCTTGGAATAAATGCTTTTGCTTTGCTGATCGTCATTTTCTTCCTCTTCTTCAGTACTGGAAGTATGGAAAAAAATTTTTCAGTGTTTTTTTTTTTATTTATTTTTGAGAGCATGCAAGCAGGAGAGGGGCAGAGAAAGAGGGACAGAGGATCTGAAGCGGGCTCAGTGCTGACAGCAGTGAGTCTGGTGTGGGGCTTGAACTCACGAACCGTGAGATCAAGACTTGAGTCGAAACCAGACGCTTAACTGACTGACCCGCCCAGGTGCCCCTGGAAAAACATTTCTGACTAAACTTTGGTAAATTCAGAGTTTTAATGCAGCGAGTACATCTAGGTACATTTCAAGACATAAATGATTTAAAGTTCAGTATTTTAAAATAGTGAACTTTAATAATGGTATTCTTATATTCATTATATTCCTATAGTGATGTAATACAATGCCAGGATTCTGAGACACAGTATTGCAATCAGTAATAAAAATTTAAAACTTTTTAATGACAGATAGTATGTAAACAAAGTTAATATGTAAATGAGAAATTTGGGAAAGTATTTGTAAAACCTAGTTAATATATCTGTAGAAGGAGCTTTTACTTAGATAAGTAAAAAGCACATCACAATACAAAAATGATCAAAAGATAAGCAGTTTAGAGAAAGCAAATCTCAAATAACAACAAATACAAGAAAAAGATGTCTAATCACTACTAATTAGGAAAATGCATGTTAAAGAAATGAGATTTTTATTTTATATCTTTCATACTAGCAAAACAATTGTAACATTTATATGAAACAATTGTGAAGTTATTTAAAAGAATACCTTAGTATACCATTTGACTTAGAGGCATATCTGCAAGATGTGGTTGAATGAGCGAAATAGAGAGTATTGGTAGAGTCCCAGTTTTATATATATGGCTGACAAAAATCCCTTCTGTGTGTATACATGTACATGTGAATATGGTTATGCAATCTTGTACAAAAATGTAGAATGAAAAACACTAAATCAGAAACACTGGTTAAGGGGATGATGTTGGTGCAAGAGAAAGTAGGGAGGCAAGCATAAAATGTTACGTTCCATATATATGCATTTATATAAAGTTAATATATGTGTTTGTGCATTTACATTATAAGGAGTTTTTTAAAGATTAAATAATGATATTTATTTTCAAAAGGTTAGGAAAGGAACCATTAGGAACATGCAGTGTGAAGTATGTTCCACAGATAGGGAAAATAACAAAATTCCTAAGGAGGAAAGTAGCTGGTAGTTAAGGAAGACACATGTGTGCACATATGTACATAAACACACACCAGTGAATTTTTTTTTTAGTTTTTTATTACATTTATTTATTTTTGAGAGACAGAGTGAGACAAAGAGTGGGGGAGGGGCAGAGAGAGAGGGAGACACAGAACCCAAAGCAGGCTCCAGGCTCTGAGCTGTCAGCACAGAGCCCAACACAGGATTCGAACCCACAAACTGCGAGATCATGACCTGAGCCAAAGTCGGACGCCTAACCGACTGAGCCACCCAGGCGCCCCACACATCAGTGAAGTTTAATGGATGTAAAGGAGAGTGAAGGGAAATAACTTTAGATAGAGAGTTTGAGGCCAGATAATTTATTTTGTTTACTTAATGAGTTTGGGTATTACTTTTAATGCAGTGAAAAGCTCTGAACTTTTACTTATATAATTTGATTTATGTTTCAAAAACATCACTTGGGCAGGTATGTGGCACATATATTGTAAGGTATAATAGATGAAGCAGAAAATTCAATGTAATGATTATATCAGTAATATACATGAGAGGTGATATAACTTGGCCCAGGCTGATAGTGGTGTGAATAGATTTGAGATACGTTTTAGAGGTAGAGTCGCCACAATTTGCTGATGGATTGGATAGGGCAGATTATGGGAATAAGAAGGACCAAGGATAACTCTTACATGTTTTTTTGGTTTTGTGTGAATGGGAGGTGGTGCCATGTGCTGAAATGGAGAAGAATATGGAAAGAGCATATTTGTTTTTAAAATCATGGAACTGGATGCAATCACCTGGCAAGGACTGTGAGGGTAAAGAGGAGAAAGGAGCCCAAATCTAAAGCTTAAAGGTACTTCAGTAAGTAGAGGTGAGGCACTTCCTTCTGCTCATTGAAGGAAGAGGATATAGCTGTAAAAGCTGACAGGAAGCACTGAATTAGGAGGAAAATCAGGACAGTGTTGTGTCATAAAACACCTGGAGAAGAAAGTGTGAATATGGTCAACTGTGTAAAGTGCTGCTGAGGTATATGGTAAGGTAAGAACGAAAAAAGTGACCATTGACTCTAATCACATTAATTAGGTTGCTGATGATGACATGGACAAGTCTTAGTGGAATTTGGGGAATGGAAGTCTGATTGCAGTAGTTGAGGAAAGAATAGGTAAGCGGTTGGAGATGACAACTACAGACATTTCTTTCAAACATGTTTACTGTGAAGTAGATCAAAGAGGAGGGGCAACTGGAGGGGCAGTATGGAGTCCAGGGAGATGCTAGAACATGCTTCTGTGCTTCTGGTCTTTGATCTAGTGGAGAGGAAGGACAGCTTGATGGGAGAGAATGATACTTCTGGAAAGGAATAGGAACAGAAAAGTCAGCAATAACAGCAGAGGGGTGAATGTGGAAAGCTACAGGTGAAGTGTTTAAACTGATAGATATGATGATGGGAAGTGGTTTGAGGCAAGCAGAGAGTGGACTTGAGACAGAGAAGGTGGGAAATAGTTGACTTGGAGAATGGGCTAATGAGAAACAAACCAAGTTATGATGGTTAGGCAGTGTTGAGTGTTAGGTGAGATTTATGGTCATCAGTTCAGAAACACCAGAGGGGCGTGTGTGTGTGTGTGTGTGCGTGCATGCCTGTGTGTTTCCAGGAGTTGTCAGCTACTTGGATAAAGATACAGGGATAATTGGTGTATGTATTGGGGGTCAGTTCTTGGTTGGGGCTGTGCCAGGCAAGTATGTTCATGAGAGAAGGGTAAAGTATGTGTGTTTGTAAGGGAGTGAAAATAGTGATGGACCATGAAATCTAGAGAGGAAAGAAAGGACATGAGAATAGACAGTAACAAAGTGGTGAGGTAAAAATGGATTGGAGGACTGGATATAGGTTAAAGAATTTCTGGAGAAGTAATACAAAATAGAAGAGCTAGATAGGAGGCAAAATGGAATACATGAAGTTGAGATTTTGGAGGTGATTTTTGGTGAAAGGTATAACAGTAGGAGTGAGTTCTTGACATGTGGAAGTGGATCATTTGGAGTTGGGAGATGTTTTTGCAGTGATATTTTACACAGATACTGAAATCACCAGAGATAAGAGTAGGGCTAGAAAGAAAAGTATCAGGTGATAGTTATCAGTGCATGAGGGGGGTCATTTGGTGCCCATCACAAGGAGAGTTATTTGGTGGTATAAATTTCATGGTGTGAACTTGAAAACATCTGAAGTTTTTGAAGGAGAAGGAAGGAAAAATAATTTGTAAGACAGAGTAGGGAGCAGAAAGGATATACCTTTCAGGCTCTTGAAAATAGTAGATATAATATTTAAAACAAACAAAAATTGGTCTCTGTTTGAGAGGACTTAAGGTGACAGGGTTAGAAACTGGAAAAAATATTCAAAGAAGAATTTGAGGACTTTGGGGAATTTGTTCATCCCTAGGCTGTGAATTTTAAACTGGATAAGGGGTCAGTGATCAGCTGTGTCCTTCTCCGGTTCTTTGCCTTCTGCAGCAGACTGGCAGCGAAGGATAAAGGGAAACCTCCTCAGGAAACTGACTGCTCTGTCGGGAGATAGAAGTTAAATGTAGGACTGTAGTCTTGTGGTACGTGGGGGAGTAGAGGCTCATGTGGAGTGTGAAGCTAGGAACCTTTTTCATCTTTGGAATCTGACTCAGTATTAAAAGAGGGCTCATCTTTAGGTAGCCTGTATTCAGGTACTGCTAATGCTTTTCCTAAAAATATACCTTTTTTTTCTTGGTCTAGGTCACTTTTACAAAGAGAAAGTTTGGATTAATGAAGAAAGCCTATGAACTTAGTGTGCTCTGTGACTGTGAAATAGCACTCATCATTTTCAACAGCTCTAACAAACTGTTTCAGTATGCCAGCACTGATATGGACAAAGTTCTTCTCAAGTATACAGAATATAATGAACCTCATGAAAGCAGAACCAACTCGGATATTGTTGAGGTAACACATATCTCTAGTATGCCTGAATTGCAGTTATAATTGAATCTTCCATTTAATAACTTTAACTGTCAGATTGCTTTTCACATCCAAATTATAAATCAGTTTATATATGTAACTTACTTTTTTCTCTGAATCATTTCTTGGAATGATCTAATTATTGCTATAATAATATATACATAGATTTTTTTTCCCTCTGAATCATTTCTTAGAAGGATCTAATTATTGCTATGTAATGACCCACTTATGCTGTAAACATCCTATTTATTGAGACAAAATAAGCTAGGCTGTTGTACTGTATACAGCAGTATAATCTAACATTTTATCTATGATGACTTATTTTGTATGAGTTTTAAAGTTAATATTATGAACTGTATCACTTGGAATAGTATGAAGTTACAGTTTTAATATGTCTTAATCATTTCATTATGTCAGTGACTACCCACAACTTGAAACACTAATGAAGTGGAAGAAAATGACGTAAATATTTGTGTTTTGTCAGTAGTGCTTTAGTTGTGGGGGGAAGATATCTTCTTTTTTTTTTTTTTTTTTTTTTTTTTTTTTTTTTTTTTTTTTGTTACCTTTTCTGCTGTCCTTCAGTATCTCTTATAATTCTGCTGACTTACTTAAAATGAAAACAAACAAAAAAAATTCGGGGATTATTTCCATCTTATTCAGAAATAGTGTTTTAAAGCAAGCCCTTCAAAAAGAATCAGTATACTTTCCCCTTTTATTCTTTTCTACTGCAAAATCTATTTATAAAAGTTAACTTACCATATATATTTCTAATGGCACTCTAAATTAGCTTTGTACTTTTGTCATTTTTGTTACATTTAGAGATTTTGTTTCATTTTTATTCAAAAGGGAGTCTTTCCCCCCACTAAAAAAGATGCATACTTTGGCTTACTTTTGTAAGATTAGAAAACTGTCCCAGTTAATTAGGGATTTCCTTGGTGAAAATACTGAAACCATGTGAAATGATGCAGAACTAACTATAAATGAAGAACTAACTATAAAAGAAGAAATGAAGTCCTAATCTAGATTTTGAGTTAAGATAAAGATACCTTGTTTTGTAGGAATCTAATTTATTTGCCTCCACAGATTAAATGCATTCTAAATTTCCCTATACAGTATTTCTCTACTACAACCATTCCTTTTAATTGATTTAGTTTGTTACTGAAAAAAAAAAATTCTGCTACTTACAATTTTTTTTTAAAAGAGCACTTCTGTTACTTTTTAGCAATTAATTAATTGCAATGAGAAGTAAAAGCATCATGTAATTACAGCTACAACTCATCTCTGTGCTTGTTACCCAGTTTTATTTAAATGGTTCACTGCTGTGAACATCCCCTGAAGTGTGTATGAAGCTTTTGATTTTGCCCTTGTTGATCATTTCAGTTAAACTACATGATAACCTCTTAGCCAAGCCCCTTAATGCAATTATGTTTATATCAATTGTAAGTTACTTTGTATTATTTAGCATTTGTGGTTTTAGCAATACAAGTCAGTAGACTGTCCCTGTTATATATCAATGCATTTTGAATTGTAATTTTATAAATTAGAGGATCCTTATTTGGGTAATCTTATCAGAGACTTCATAACTGGATTTCCTTGAAATGGAGATTATCCCTGGTGTGTTTGATTTAAAATCTTATTTTAAAAATCTCTATATCTTATCAAAAGCTCCACTGCCTAAGTCAAAGAAACAGAGTTGACTTTTATGATGCCAGCAGATAGATACTCAAGCTAGTTTCATTGTAGAAGGCAGCCATCCCCTTGACCCTAACTACTCTGCTCTTTCATTGCAGCAGTTGTTGGTCTTGGCCCCTGGAAGTTGAGGGTGCTCCGCACAGCCTAAAGCTTACTTCTTTAGAGAATATGAAGAATATAGTCTGATTTAATCCTCACAGAACTTTCAGACTACCTCAGTCTTCACCTCTGTTGTGGTCAGCAAAGTGTAAGAGAGTAAATCCCAAACATTTTTTTAGCAGTCTCTATTACAATTTACTTCAGTATGAAGGAAAACTTTTGCAGGTCAATTATCAATTGGGATTTTGATGTTTTCTTTTTAATTGAATTTCTTAGGTATAAGTGAACATGAATATTACCAGTAGTTCTTTATGAAGTTTGGAATAATATAAATGCAATGGTTAGAAGACACATTGGCTTATTATAAGGTATTAATTTGTTGGTAGGATAAATTACAAGGCTTAATTTACCTTGCATGTTAAGTTTACTGAATTAACCTTCATTATAAGACAGTGGTGGTTACCCCAGATGTTCTTTCTTCTACGTAGAAGGGTAATGCAACTACATCCTGAATAGAAGTATGTACATATCTGAGTTCCTTTTATCAGTGGTGGTAATGGCTTATACTAATGTAGCTACAAAGATTGTTGTGAACCAACCTAAGTTTATAAGACCAGAGTAATGACAAATACATAAACCATAGTTTCCCATGGGCCAGGCACTTACAAATATCTCATTTAAGGATATTTATGGAATACAATTTTAAGTATTTTTTTTTTCATATAGGGTCCTTTGAAACAGTTGTAGTAATTGGAAAGACACTTTTGTGCATTTGTTCATTTAACAAAAATATTTGAGGGGCTCCTATGTACCATGGACTCTGCAAAGTGATATTATTTAAACATTTCTAATTCAGGCTCAAGACTGTTCTTTCTACCCATAGTTTTGTAAACCACTTAGATAAACTTGTACCAACTGAAGATTTTATATCTGTAAACTTTGAGCAAGTTGGTGTGGTGTTCTAGATGTGTAAAAAAGCTGTCTCCTGTGGCTTCATCTGCAGTAAATGGAGGCATAAACAGCTATAAGTGATCCACATTAGAGTGTCTCCTAATGCACTTGATCCATAGTGAGACTAACTGAAGACTTTGAGAACAACCTTTATAAGCCCTCTAACCTGAATTTACTATTTCCTGTTGCATATAAGTTAGTCCTTAAGATCAGTAGGATTTTATTTTCCCCCATATGTCTAAAAACCATACCTGCAAGAATGCACACGTTATTATGCCTATGGAATTAGATCTAGTATGTTTTCTGGGAGCACAATGGAATAAATACATTAAAAGTAGTTGGTATTCGAATATTGTGATGATAAACAGATATAAAGGAAGAATATGGTGCTCACATCTGTCTACCTTTTTATTTTAACCACAGATACCAGAAACCTCTGTATAGAATGGTGTTCTATCTTTGGTATCCCTTGTTTCATATTATCTATATTTTAAAACCAGTTTTTTTAATTTTAATCAATTTTAACAATTATAGTTGGTAAAAAATAATTTCCTTAAATTGCATTTGGATCTTTTAAAGTCTGCAGTGTCCTGTAGAATATGCATATCTCTTACATTGAGAAAGCTAAATAAATGAAAACAGAAACTTAGATGTTAGTAAATTAGGAGATTGTCATAAAGATAAACTTTATAAGAAACTTCATAATTGGATTTCTTTGAAATGGAGAGTATTGTTGCTGCATTAATGGCATCTTATTTGAAAATGCTTATTATACACTGCTTTTTAGGAGTATATTCCTGACAAAAAATGAGTTTCACTACTTTGTTTTCTATATTTCAGTAGGAGACATTCTGTACAAATGTCATCAGAGATCTACATTGTATCTTTCCTATTAAGCATTGATACAAAATGCTTATATGTGGCCCACTTTTGTGGGCCTACAAAAAGTAGTAATTTAGTTGAAATGTAGAGACAGTGTTATAACCCCCATGTTTTCTTTTTAGTAAATTAAGATTTAAAAAGTTGTCAACTGTTGTATGCAGTTTTATAAGAACATTGGATTTATCTTAAAGTATTAGAAACTATTAATGAAAATCACCAGTTACCATTATTCACATACACACACACACGTGTGTGTGTGTGTGTGTGTGTGTGTGTGTGTACACACACATTGTGTTTATATTAAACAAAAGCCTAGGACCAATAGAAGGGTTCTGCATCAGAATAAAAATTATGCTAAAGCTGTGAAGTGAGGATTTTAGCAGCTGCTACACAATAAATTCCTGAGATTACTTTTATATCCATTTTTTTCCTCTCACTTTACAAAAATATTTGGAATCTTAAATATTCCAGCATGTGATCTATAAAGATAGTTATGATTTGGTGGTATTGGAGAATATTCAGTGCATAGCTTGTGTGATGATTCAGATCATTGTGCTGTCATTTTAAGGATATAAGAGACCATGGCCATTTATCTGTCTAGTTAATATCTTATAAACTGCACCCAGATAGAGGTATTTTCCTCATGTCGGGAATACTGTGGTACTTAAAAAGAAAAAAAATACCACTTGCATTATCTCATTTGTTCCTTATATCCAAGGCAAACTTTTCGGAAGTGGAAACTGAGACTCCGTTAAATGACTTGCCCAGAGTCATGTAGCAATTTATTGGCAGAACTGGGATTAGAACCTCAGTCTTTGAAATTACAGCCTCCCTTGCCTTCCCAGTTTACTGAATTCATTAGAGCTCTGAAACATTTCACAATAAATGGATACAATTTTATATATAAATCAGTAATGTTCAACATGTGTAACAAATGTGAATGAGTTTTCCTTGATAATAAATAGAAAATTAGTGAAATTAATTGCAGTAAGATTAATTGGTGACATTTATCAAGTTGCTAATATAACCTGGTACTCTTCCAAGGACTTTTATTTATGTTACCTGATTGAGCTCTCTTATTGTCCCCGTTTCACAGATGAGGAATTTGAGGCACAGTGATAAATGAAGTAAGATGACAATAATTTGGATTTAAAGAATGAGAAAGTCTGCTTTTTCTGAGTTTTAATAATCCCTGCCTGCTTTCAGATTACAAAGGAATTTAGAAGTCATTAATATCTTAAAGAGAGGAAACATAAGATGCATCTATCGATTATTAAATAAAAATAGCTGGTAGTAAAAGTTGAGCACGGCAACTTTTAGAATCAGTGGCTCTCAGGGTGTGGTACCCTGACCTGCAGTAT